CATTGTCTTCCTCCCCTCCCGCATGTGCAGGCGCCATTCTGCTCGCCCACCTCGTGAGAGAAACTCCTCCTCGTGCAGTTTAATTAACGATCATCGGGTATTCCCGCGACGTAGAAATCATTTACATTTATTCGCCCGTTATCTCGCGCGATTGCGCCTCCTTACCCTGCGCGTTCTGTGTGCGGAATGTTTTTTTTTTTTCTTCTCCTTTCCTTTTCCCCGGGACCCCAACACGGCCTCTTAACGGCTCGTAATCGTTTAAAGTACCTATTCGTGTTATATCTATCGCTTGTCTCCCCGTTTGTTATTCTTAAGGCGTAATAACGTGAACGAATGGCGCTCCTTGCGCGCTCCCGTCGTTTACTTTACAAAGCGTTTTCCTTTCTAAAAATCGAAAACGAGCGCTTTGTCAGGGAGATACTTCTTGAGACGTGGAAAAGACTCTATCCCCTGACCATTGATACTCAAGTCTCTTTATCCCTCTCTTTCTCTCTCTCTTTCTCTCACTCTCCGCGTAATAGAAATGATAATAACGTACTTTTATATACCGGTATGGAAATGCTACGACAAGGTTTTATGTCTCTAAAAATTGTGTGTATTTTAGAATAGCGTTCATTTTATAAACCAACGATTCAATTGTGAGATCATAACAGAGAAATTATGGCCTTTCAATTGCGTCATCAAATTCCGCATTATAATTATCGTGTTATTAATAAGAGCTTTGATGTCGGACATTTCAACAATAACCGAAATGACGCGATATATCTCCCTTTTCTTATTATTTACAGTCGCTTTAATGTGGTTCAATAAACGCCCGCTACATTGAAATCAGGATCTTATTTCCGTCATTACCTAGTAATGCTCGTTGAATAAAAAAAGACACTCGCACACATATAAATTACCATTAGCTTCGTACACTTAAATATCTCGGTCTTATCTGAGAATTCCGGTTTTATGCGCGAACATACGTTGAGCAACCACATACGTGATTTCATTCACCGCCATTTGTTTTTTTTTCTTTCTTTCTTTCCGTTTCCCCTCCCGAGATCCAATTCGCCCCTGTACGAGCGCTAAATGTATCAACTCTTTTCAGCTACAGTGTGTGCCGTGAGTTTCCGTTAGGCTAATATAAGATGTTGTCAGATATGTGAAAAAAGGGGGAGGGAGTTGACGACCGCGATCGCCGCGGCACAAATTGCGAATGACAGACGCCGTACATTTAGCGCGCCAATATCGGGAAGACGCGGTCCCGAGGAATCTGTCATAACGCGTTTGCAAAACGTTGCTTCAAAGTAGCAATTAAAGAGAACCGCGAGAGATCGAGAGGTCGTAATATAAAATGTACCTTCACGAACACTTCATATTTACAATCAAGAAATTAGACTTTCTAAACCCGATATTTACATAAAGCGTCCTTATTTCAAGCCACATTTGTACTTATTGTGCGTGTGGGATATTTTTGCTCGTAATATCGCACAACGACGAGTCGCAAGAAAGAGAGAAAGAGAGGGGGAAGGGAAAATATCCGAAACATCAGACACGAGGAATTAGCTTCCCTGCGGCACGAGGAGCGACGACGCTTCGCGATGAGATTAAGCCGAAGGGCAATTAATTAAATCGCGGCAAATAAGCCTTCAGAAGACTCGTCGCCACGAGGCACCACTTCGAAATCAGTAGAGAGGCGATAACCGTAGCCCGGAGCTATCATTAGTCCCTGCTTTCATCCCTTCGATGCTCTGTCACGCTCTGCCGATATCATACGTGAATGGACCGAGAGCTTCAGCTCTAAGTCGTAAAAATACGACTGTCGAAGAACACGCGCGATCGATTTGCCATGAATTTAATTTGAAAACACTCGAGGAATTTTTTTAACAAGTTTCACGCGAGAAAAAAATCTGTTCCGTTACATTTACAAAAAGATTTCTACATTTAATTCCTGTTTTGTTACGCAGAAAAGAAAAATAGTCTTAAATCAAGACTGTATATTCTTATATATAAGCAAGAATATTATGATTATGATAGAGAAGATTTTTAGTCTTGAGTTAAGCAAAAATATCTGCGTCAATAAAAAAAAAAAAACAACAAATTCAATCAAATCAAGATTGAACATTTTTAAGAACATTATAATATTTTTATATATGAGGATATTTGTTTTGGATTAAAGACTAATTTTTTATCTGTGTATTTTTTTTTCAATCTTTTCGTCGAGTTTTGCCTTCAGATGTGTAATATCTTGAGTGAATTAGCAACAGCTATCTTTGCTATTCCAAGAAAACGAGAGCAAAGAGTCTTTCACCGCTTTGCTTACAACAAAACGCTTGATAAAAAATTTACACGTATCGCGAGCGAGGGTAATTTCGTACTCGCGACATTAGAGTTGAATAAACGGCTCGGAACCGCCGAGTTACGGTTCTCAGGACTCGGGTATTTTGACTTGTCTGATTTTTCACGGATGGTGGTCAATTAGAGCACGGGTCTGGACGAGTATCTCGCGCAGACGGTAGCCGCGCACGGTTGGCGCATTGGCCGGTGAAAAATGAAGGTAAAGCGAGTAGGTAGGTGGGTAGGTAAATGACGTATAGATGTGTATCACGCACAATGCACACTCGTGGGAGCCTGCGTGCACCCGCTCCCACGCCGGTTTTTGTCCGAACGCTCACCGGCAGACCGGCCCGTCGCCGTCGCCGTCGCCGTCGTCGTTCAAAAAATTGCTACACAGAAAAAAAAAAAACATTAAATCGAGACAAATATTCTCATAGATAAGCGAGAATATTATAATCCTGTTGGAACAATTTTAATCTTGATTCGATGGAATTTGTATCGATGCGAGTATTCGCTTAATTCAAGATTGAAAATCTTCTGTATGAAAATTGTAATATTTTTGCTTATGTATGAGAATATCTGTTTTGAATAGATTTATTTTTTTTCTTTCTGTGTACAAGAATTCTCATTCCGTCGTCATTCTAATATATACACACACACACATATAAATATATATATAAAGTTTCGTGAATATTCCGCAATTCCGAAGGCTGAAACAGGAGACACGAAGAATAATTTAACGCACAGTTTTTATTTGTATTTTCTTTAAATTTGTCTTTGAGAGCTTAGAGATGATTAAATTGAAAGAATTGGATAATACTTTGGATTCTTTCCGTAGTGTAATTGCCGTAGGAATTAAAAAAAAATTAAATGGTTCGATTTATGGATATACTTAAAACTCAAGTTTGATGTGAGAACGATATAAATGAAACGAATGAAATGTGGATTAATTCACGGTATATTTGAGATCAAATTGACGTAGCTTCTGCTTTTTTGCGTGCGAAATTCATTGGTATGGTACGCTGAATGGGCGCGCAGGTAAACCAGAAGGATAATTAATTTTCACGGAATAAGAAACGGATTATTGCGTTACGAATTCGCTTTTATTAGTGGTATTTCTATCGCAATGGCGGATTCTCTCTTGGCGATTGCTCGACCAAACAATGCTATTCCCTCGAGTTGCTATGCAGGTTATGCATGCTCGCCATACGTGCCGCATTAAAACAACCGATTTACCAACGAGATATAACTTTTGTAAACAACATTCTTTAATAAAATTCTTATAAATTTTCTAAATCTTTTAAAAATAGAAATTTTAAAATAGAAATAATTGCTTTTATGGTACGTAGTCATGGACTATACGTGTAAACATAAATAATTTATAAATTATAAATAGAAGTATGTCGAGACGTAATCAGTTTCTCATCTTTTATTAAACACGAAAAATTCAGAACAAATTAAAAAAAATATAGAAAGAATCTTTTTATTATCCCATAAAAAAGTATCTCACGGAAAGGATGATTTTGCTGATGTATTTAAAAATTTAGTCAGATACAGATCTGAAAATAATTTTGTTGAATCATCAAAACGACCATGTAGAAAGTTTAAACATGATAATAATACTATAAAATTCTAGCAACTAATTTGAACGTCCTATATAATTATTTCGCCCAACATAATTATTTTCGTATCTGACTGAGATATTTTAGATATTTCTCTCCGTGTTGTTCTGTGTTTTGTGTAATCAATATTCTTGTCACGTTTTAATATATCGCCCATTAAACTTAATGCGTGCGAACCCGCGTTGACTTGCGCAGCCAACGATAGGGCAGTTAAGTTTAACGCACGCGTGAAAAGGGAAGACCGCGCTTACCCTCGACTTTCTAAACTACCCTCCCATGCCGATAACAGTCATTTACGATGCGAAACGATAATAAAGAAGTCGAGTGAGCAGACAGCACCTGTGACACATTCCCGCGTGCATTCGAACACCTGTAACCCCGTGTCTCGGCCGTCTCGGCGTTTCCAATTTCCCACACACACACACACACACACACACGCCGCGCCTTTCAATAATGGATCGCCCCGGTGTGGATCCTAGGGAAAAAGGGGGGCCGCCCAAACGGCCGGGGCCCCCGTACACTCGGACGTTAATTACACACGGCCGCGCCAACTAACATACCGGTCGTATTGTTATTGAAACGGGCTCGGGAAGGTGGAACGAAAGCGCTCGCGTTCTACACATTTCTATGACGACTTCATCGAATCGGACGCAACGTGCCACTTTGCACGTGCTGATGCAAACCGAACGTTCTCGAAGCTCCCTTTTCTTCGTCTCCAATATGTATCAACGTGTATGAAAAATTTTAAATGATATCTTTTTTGATCTTCTTAACATAATGTACAGACAAGAAAATTAAGAGAAAATTGTGAGAATTACTGCTACCAAATTAACGAGTAAATGCATACATTGAGAACATCGAAATTAAGAGCACATTATAAAAAAAGAAAGATATAATCAAGCAGGATTGTCGAAGTCGTGAAGTTAAGGCCGAAAAATAATTGGCGTTTGTTCTAATACGAGAGGAACAAAGGCATGCCAAGACTCAACGAAGCGCGACGAAGGCGGACCGAGCCCACGGCATATGCCGAAATCTCTCTCTCTCTCTCTCTCTCTCTCTCTCTCTCTCTCTCTTTCTCTCTCCTGCCTCTACGATGGCGGCCATGTCCAGTGTCCGAAGACAATTGCCTTCTCGTGTTCGGTCGAAAGTGCGTTCCCTTCGGGTCTATACTCGTAGATAACACCCAATCTAATGTTAATGGCGGAACAGGTGCCCGCCGAGGCGTGACAAGGTGACGTCATTGGTCCCCTCGTGCCGCAATGCGAACACCGCTCGTTGTTCGCCACCGCGCCGCGATCATTGAGTATTGCGTGAAATACACGCAAAAAATAGGCGCAACAATCTCGCGCTTATACGCCAGCATATTGAACGTATGTGTGATCAATTAACCGACATAACTCGCGATAAGGACGACAAATTGCTTGTCGGCTATGTTACGTTCGATAATTGTTAACTCGTTCTATTAATAACTTCGAAAATAATTCTTCATACTCTCCCTAGAAAAACGTAAAAGTGACAAACGCGAATGTAGATACGAACTAATTAAGAAACACGCGGCGTTTGACAGCCTTGAATTTCAAGTATGAAATCTGAGAAATTTATAGACTCTAAAATTGAGGGATTCGCGATGGCAAAAATTACACCTCGCGTTGGCGGCTATTTGCGACGAGAAAATATTCGAAAATACCGACCGCAAGAGACCTTGAAGAAACTATAATTTGTCAGATCAAATTCGTCAGGTGGCAGCACAGGATCCGAAACGAGTTTATGTAAAAAACAGAATTAATTTACAAGAATGTTACAAGAATTTCAATCATTGAATGTTACAAGATTCAATCTATGAGCCCGAAAACCCCGATAAAAATATTTTTTCTCTACATTCTCTTATCTTATCAGAAGACCGAGTAATATAAAACAAATAAAGAATTAATAAAGAAAAATACATATTTTGTGATATAAAATATTTATAGTAAAATTATATTTTAAATATCAACTCTTATAATCACATTTTATCAATATTTCAAAATATATCGTAAAAAATATACAATTTTCCATAAATTATTTTCTTTTTAACACAATACTTGATACATTATCTTATTTCAAGGCCTACAAGAGATCTTCTTTTATACATCTACTGAAAAACTAATTAAAAATTGATCAATCAATACCAAGGAAGATAGAAAAATAGAAATAGAAACTTTTTTTTTCTATCTCGCGCGTTCTGAGTAAATTTCTTCAATTATAAAGACGTTGCATTTCTATCCTAACAAAATAATCTTAACACTGGATGTCTTTTTAGCAGGGAGAAAAAGACAAATGATATGGATCATTTAGATGTCATTTAAATACGCTTAGATCTTTTGACGACAACATATATTTTAATAATCTAAATATATTTTAATAATCTAAAGATGACCTAAGGATTTAGCATGAGCTAAAATAACTTTCAGGGCGCTCTAAGATAATGCGAAGATCATCGCATCTCTTACATTAGTGCGCGAGCTTTGTACGTTTTGTATTCGAACAAGACGACGTGCCATGACGGAGGACGCGAGGCGATAAAGTTATCCTCCGATCCAATGCGCGACGCGCCGCATCCCTCTTCCCCCTCCTCCCCCCCCCCGCCCCTCAAATCCTCGTGGAGAGGTAACGAAACGAGAGGAGAGAAGAGCCATCGAGGATTGGACAAACGAGACTCCTCCCGCATTATCTGCGTCCAACCTGCACCCACGCGTCCGATTCACCAACACCGCCGGCGCGGTCGCACGGTTATGCAAGAGCGAGCAGGAGGAAAATGCGGCCGTCGCGAAGGGGAGGAAGCGAGATGAGGAGTTTTCCACAACATACCCACGCGTCGCATCATCCATCGCGCCGCGCTACTAGGCTGCCAAGCGATGCAACGGCAGCCATGACCTCATCCCGGCCAACCCGTCTGACGGAGCATTGCGCAAACCGACGACGTTAGTGGGGCAGACGACGATGTGCAATCGCATTTTGCATCGCACTCGTCACGCGCGTTTTAAATGGACGCGCCGCGGAATCGGGCCGCGAATCGCGCCTCTTCGCGAATCTCTGCGCGCGGCAAAATCGCGGCTGTTCACACAGGAAAAAAAAAAAATTAATCTTAAGTTACACGGTTAGAAAACTTTTGTGTAAAAAATTTGCTTGGTTAAAAACGTTTGTGTTAAGTAACCTATATATTTATATGTAAATTTAATCTGCTATGTTGATTGACCTTAATAAATATAAAATATTAAAATTATTAAAATGATTTAAAAGGTATGTTGAAGTAACAGAATTTGTATGTTTTGTACGTAACATATTAAATATATTAAAATTTGCGAAAAAAAGAATGTTGATCATTCTAGTATAACAGGAAGAATGGAGATGACTGCGCGTTATGTCACTTTCGTCATAAAAATTATATTAATTTTATATATATAATAGACTTCTAGATTAAGATCAAAATTATATTTCTTTTTTGTTTTAGTATTAACACAGTATTAGTGTTACTGTTTAACATATTTATATAATTAATCATATAATTAAATAAATAAATTAACATAAAAATTTGAGCATTTTGGGATATTGATTTATATTAAATGTAACACATATTTTCCAACAGTATATATTGATCATATATAAGATCATTATAATTTTCGTATAGAAAATTTTTAGTCTTGAGTTAAGCAAAAATAATACTTGCATCAATATAAATTCAATCAAGATTAAAATTTTTAAGAAGTTTATAATATTCTTGTTTATATATTTGTCTTGATTTAAAAGTAATTTTTTTCTAATTGTAATTTTTAAATTTTTTAATCTGACGAGTGACTATGCACTTTATAAATTATAAATATAGATACTATAGATTAGTAAACACGGAAAGTCGAAATATCGAAAAGAAAAACGATGCTCTCGTTTGAATGATTGATAAAATCATCGATTGAGAGAGAGGAAGATTTCCGCGTTAAAAACGAGAAGTCATGGATCTTCCAACGCGCAGCGCGTGATTTCTATTTCTTTTATCTGGAAACGTGACTGGTCTTTCCAGATATTGCTGCTACAGGTTGGAATGTCTATCTCGCCTTCAGCAAAAAAATGACGTCGTTACGTCACTAGATCCTTGCTTTAATCGGGAAAGGATCTACGTTGGGTTCTCGATAGAGAACACCGCGTGCAAACGCCAAATCTTAAAAGCTCGAATCGGTGACATGATCGGTACCGTTATACGTACGCCTGCCGGCAATCGGCCGTACAATCGAATAATATCTCTTGTTGTTCCTATTCGCTGCTTGACCAGTTCCCGAGTAACTTCGAACCTGTTCCATGAGTGCTTCTACCTACCCGTTGTGCGTACGCTTGCTGCTATCTAGACAGGTTGAACCTTCTCGTAGCATCGCTCGCGAATGCACAACGCGATAATCCTTGTTATGCAGTTTGCAATTTACACAAATTCTAGATATCAGGAACCGTAGCGCCCCTTCACCGGTCCATTCTCTGCTTTCACTATTTTTACGACATTACATTTTAAATTCGAAATATATCGTCGATAAAAGAAAGATAAAAATTCATTTGTAAAAATTATTTATCGTATAAGTATTCTTAGATTCGCTCGATTTCAAATTTTGTATATTGTGAAATATATAATACTGATATTTTTCATATTTCGCTTTAGTTATTTTGAATTCACAATTCCAAATTATTTTACACGAATCATTTTCCAATTCGCCTTTGACGTTTCAAATTTCACGAGTAAATTGACTTGTTGATACTTTTCACATCACGCTCTTTCGGAGCTCGCGTGAGATGAAACTGCGCAGAAATTTTTTAATCATCGCAAGCTGATTAAAATTAAAATGATGCGTGATTTTTCACACACACAATCCCGTGAAACACACGGTCGACTGGCCGATTTTGCGAGGCATCGCCTTTCGCTCTACCCTAATTACCCAGCGAAGGGAATGAGAATAATCGGCTGAACGGGGTGACGAATCGTTGATGAGAACCGAAGTACCGAAAGTACTTAGCTCGCCAATCCTCGACTTTTAATTAGCTTTTCGCGAAATCGAGTCGCGGCCAGGCGGACGGGAAGGCAGACACGCGAACGGGTCGCGCTCACGCATCTGCTCTGCTCAAGCGCACCGGCGTACATCGTAAATAGACGCTGTCTTAACGTTTATTTCGTGTTTAATTAACCGCCCATTATCTTCCACTCACGTTCTCGTTAACGATAAGATCCGGCGAAATTAAAATCTGGAAGGAGGAAAAAACCTGTTGCACGCTGAGCGCGAGATAGACGCTCGGATATCTAGATTTCACGATAATAATTGTATTCCTTTCAACCTTCATAAATGTTATACTAAATACACTGAGAAAAACACTGATGCAAAAGGACGAAATGAACAATTGAATGTTATCGAACGTCTCTATTGTGTTGTTAGCTGAGCTTTCGAAAAGGTTTTACGGATACTCCGGTTATCGGATACTCCGATACACAGAGAGAAATTAGTCTTAAATCAAGTATTTTCATTTATAAGCAAGAATATTTATTCATCAATTTTCATATGAAAGATTTTTAATCTTGAATTACGTAAAATTTGCATCAATACAAATTCAATCGAATCAAGACTAAAACTTTTAAGAAGATTATAATATATTCTTAGAAAAATTTTAATCTTGATTTCATCGAATTTGTATTGACGCAAGTATAGATATTCTCATATATATAAGCAAGAATGTTATAATCTTTATATAGAAAATTTTTGAGTTGAGCAAAAATAACACATCAATACAAATTCAATCAAATCAAAATTTTTAAGAGTATTATAAGATTCTTCTTTACACATAGAGAATATTTGCCTTGATTTAAGACTAATTTTTTCCGTGTAATTACAATCATTAAAACAGAACGGAACGTTTAGAAGGCTACTTAAATACGTAATTTGATACGCTTACTAATTATTAACAGATGGCAATTATGTCTCATGGGAAATGGCATTCACTCTTCGCGTTTATCTCGCATAACGTAATGCAGATATTTTTTTATGTTAGATACGACACGCATCTCTTTGTATGCTAT